GGGGTCGAGGGTGGGGGGGAGTTCGGGAGAGGGGGAGGTGGGGGGGGAGTTTGTGGGGGGGGTCGTGATGATAGATGAGGGGTCCCAGACGGGGAGGGGGAGGCAGGGGGAGAGGACCCAGCGCGCGGTACCTGGGGACATCCAAAATAGTTGATGAAGTCCCTGAGCAATATGCAACCATGGGCTCAACAAACCGTTCAGTAAAAAGCGACTTCTCACCGGCTATGGCTGCACTCTCTCTCCTTCTTCTTCTTCTTCTTCTTTTTTAATCCGTGGGTTGAATTAGGGAGGTTGATAAGAGTAATGTTCGAAAAGAAAAGCAAAAAAAAAAAGCATGCTAGGACCTTACACGCATGATCTGACGCCCAGCTCCAGCTTTTTTTTTTTTTTGTCCCTAAGAAAATTCCACCCGCTGACCTTACACTTTAATACAGTTAATTATTGGGCAGGTTGCAGGTTCAAGTCCCGCTGAAGTCCGAACAGCACTGCCCCCCTCGCCTCTTCCCTTCTCCGCAGTTTGAAGTTTTGTGAGAACATTAGAAGCTCCGCAGTCGCAGCGAAAACAAAACACTGAAATATAGAAAGAGTACTCTGCAGTCTATAGTTTTTTTTTTGTTTTTTTTTTTGTCTCGATTTATGCGTGTCATCCTTGCGCAGGGGCCATGCTAATCTTCTCTGTATCGTTCCAATTTTAACGGATGTCCCGAAGGACAACTGCAGTCTATAGTTACGTATGTACACCACGAAATCTGAAAATTCAAAATTTGCGACTCATCTGACCTAACAATGGATGAGTACCATGGGAAGCTCCTGAGGCCTCGCCTCCACCCTTCGCTACACGTGGAGTTTCTACACCGTGGAGTTTCAAAGTGCGTTACCTCGGTGTGATCGACGAATGCATCGGACCTCAGTTGCGTCGAAATTCAGGTGAAAAAGTCTTAGAGTGACTGCACTCTTGACTTCAGTTCGATCCACCGTTAGTCGAGCTGACAGTCGCCATCCTTCTTTGCGGTGTGACTTGCTGTCCTTGCAGGTGGCCACTCCTCGGTGCTCAGTTAGCCGTTTCGCGCTGATGTGTACGGCGTCCGCCTTTGTCATTCTCGTAACGTATCATCAGCATGTCCTTCAAAGAAGGTATTACGAGGGAGGGAAAAATATTTTATTTTGGGAGGAGCGCCTGGAGGACTTCGCCCTTCAGGAATTAGACCTGCGGCACGAGGGCTCTCCGCCAGTCCGCAGCCATGGCCCGAGTAAGAAAACTACGACGGGGGAAGAACAGCGAACGGAGACTGTTGACACTAGTACCGAAAACGGTCGGCAATCGCAACAGGTTTTGCGCCGGAGGGTCGACGATGCCAAGGTTTCAGGGGCTGGCAGTCCTATAGCCAGCGAGGATGGGAAGCAGAGGACACACGAACAGGAAGGACCCCGGAGTCGGGAGGAGGAGGAGGGATTGAGGCCACTTGAGAATTTAGCGATGGTTCAGAACGGGGTGGCGGACTTGAGATACGGTCTCAAAGAAGTTAAGAACGGCGAAAGACGCCTCCAGGACGGGAGAAAAACAAGCCTGGGCAAGGAGGGGCGTGTTGAAGGGGTGAATGCACAGGTGGTTGGCGTACTGCGACAAGGTGTGGGACATTCAACGGCCGCGACGACAGGGCCAGAACAACAACAAAGAAAGACAGAACAACTGAAATTGGTTGCGGGCTCGGAGGCTATAAAGCGGAAAGAGTCGACAGTCGCGGAAGGGGAGAAGGAGGTGGTTTGGACGAATATGGAGACTCTGGGAAGTGTTCTGAGACGCATAGCCGTGAACAACACAGTGATTATTGTTACAGTGAACACCGGTTTTCGGGAATTGTTCCTTAACTGGCTCGTATCGGTGCACAGGCTTGGTCTTTCGGATCGTGTACTTGTCTTTGCAGGGGATGTGGCGTCATGGCGCTTTCTGGAGAAGTATTGGCCAGGCCATGCTGTGCTTTTCCAGTACCCTGGCACACCGAAAGGCACGTTACCTGAGACGGATGACCAGCAATGGTTTGGGCTAGAGGGATATGGAAGAATCGTAAATACACGCCCAGCGCAAATGCTGGCTTGCTTAGAGCATGGCTACAATGTCCTGTACAGCGACATTGATGCCGTCTTTTTGTCAAACCCCTTACCGCACGTGACGGGCAACGCCGATGGGTCGTTTGCGTGGGATGGCTGGTTGAGACCCCCCTGGTTCAATGGGTCCGATGAAATCCCGCCACCGCCGATGAACCTGGACTTCTGTAGCTGCTTCTTGTTCTTTCGACCTACGCAGCAATCGATCGAAGTCATGCAGCGATGGATGCTGAATCTCAGAAGATCCAAGGAACACAAGAACCAGCCGGCGCTCAATGACGTGTTCAGCTCGATCCGCGCGGACAACGACACCTGCTTCAAATTCCGCATCCTTCCCACCAAGTTTTTCCCATCCGGTCACACGATGCTCGACCCCGCCAAGCTGCGGCAATGGAAATCCTTAGGCGGCCAAGCCGCGGTGGTCCATTTGAACTTCTACTTTTCCACGCGGGTGAAGATCGAAGGATTCAAGTCGCACAACCTTTGGTTTCTAAACTCGTATAACCCCTCGACCTCTCCTTGGCCTCAAGAATTGTCTTCCCTTACGACCGTCACAATGTAGACCCTTTCTTCTCATTTTTTTCGTCTTGCTTCGTTGCCATCCGGTAATGCAATCCACGACCCCGAAGGAGCTGCCGCGGCGGAAATCCTTAGGGCGGCCAAGCCGTGGTGGTTCGTTTATATAATTCCTACCGGTTTTCCTCTCTGGGGAAGATCGAAGGTTTCAAGCCCGCACAAATGGTCACATTGTAGACCGGTTTGCCGCACAAACGGTCACATTGTAGACCGGTTTGCCGCAACGGAAATCCTTCTTAGGGCGGCCAAGCCGTGGTGGTTCGTTTATGTAACTCCTCCCGAGTCCTACCAGGTTTCCACGCCGGGGAAGATCGAAGGTTTCAAGCCGCACAAGCGGTCACATTGTAGACCGGTTTGCCGCGACGGAAATCCTTCTTAGGGCGGCCAAGCCGTGGTGGTTCGTTTATATAATTCCTACCAGGTTTCCACGCGGGGGAAGATCGAAGGTTTCAAGCCGCACAAATGGTCACATTGTAGACCGGTTCTTCCCATTTTTCTTCTTGTTTAGAAATTAGAATCTTGTTACTCTTGTGCATATGCCTCTTTTGACAGGAGAAGAGAAGAGAAACCCTTTTTAACATGTTCTGTACAATATTTTCAATCAGGCAGGAAGAGCTCGCTTGTGCAGCAGCAAACGACGAGTCAAAGTTCACCATGTTCTCGATCTGTACATGGACAAACCTTTGTCCAGGTGCAGCGAATAACGATTACTCAATTCTTCAGACTATGTATATGGACAACTCTCTCTTTCCCGATGCAGACGCTCCTAGGTCGGCCGCCAGCAGTACACTGTGGAAGTACACCACAGTTCTGTTCATCGTGTACTTGCTACTACCTCGGGTGTGTCGCCTCGTTAGTTTTTAGTACAGTTCTACAGACCAACCATGTTTTACGCTCTTTTTTTTTTCAATGGCTGGTGGATTAGTTACTGCATCGCTATAGAATATGGTAACCAGATTCTTTTCTTAAATATTTGTTGCCGGACTGGTGCGCACCGCCATGGTGCGGTCCGGGGGGGAGAAGATTCGATGGCTCAGGGGATGGTGGTCCCCACCTTGCCAAGAAAGCTCCCCCAGACAGCTCTGGAGTTCGTTCCTCCCTTCGACAAGGCTCCTTCAATAGCTGCTGCGGAAACTTTGGGGGGAATACGATCCCACCGCAGAAGCTCTGTGGTATGCGATCGCTCGTCTGTGCTCTATACTTCTCAGCGACTCAGTACTAGTGCTTCAGTTCCTTGGAGGTCATGCTGAAGAAAGCTCCCCCAGACGGCTCTGGAGGTCGTTCCTCCCTTCGAGAACGCTCCTTCCATAGCTGCTGCAGAAAACTTTGGGGGCAATTCGACCCCACCGCAGAAGCTCTGTGGTATGCGATCACTCGTCTGTGCTCTGTACTTTTCACCGACTCAGTAGTGCTTCAGTTCCTTGGAGGTCATGCTGAAGAAAGCTCCCCCAGACGGCTCGGCAGTTCGTTCCTACCCCTTCGAGAAGATTCCAGCCACAGCTGTTGCCAAAACCTGGGGGCGATACATACGTGTTCCCGCTGCAGAGGCTCGGTGGTACGTCCTCACTCGTCTGTGCTCGAGTTGACGTCGACTTGTCGGTGATCGACTTCTCTCTGGTGGTCATTCTGAACAGCTTGGCATTTAGGGTGAGCGTGCCACCACTATATGTTGATTGATGATGGAGACATGGTGCTCCTGTGGGTGTTTGGATTTTCCGCTGATTAGGCGTGAGGCTACTACTGCTATACGAGCCATCAGGTTGACGTCCAAGAGGAAGCACTCGCCACCGGAAAGCTGTTTATGGATGGCTGGTTTTTGGTTGGAGTGGATGTTCCGATGAACAATTGCCGACTTCGCAGTTATCTACATGCAGTGGTGCTTGTCGGCGTTATGTACCCATCTTCTTTTGTTTTCCTCGTCTGTTTTTCAAACCTTCCCGCTGGATTCGAACTCTGGTCCGCGTTTCAACAGTTCATGGGTGTACTTCCCGTGAACTCATGGTTGGTCCTTTTTTTTTTTCTTTTTTTTTTTCTTCTTGTCTCGGTTACAAGTTACGGAACCCATCTCGTTTAACTAGACCCGGCAAGAGCGATGGGTTCGAACTGGGATTCGAACTCTGGTCTGTGTTTGAACAGTTCTCACCCGTGGGAGCCAGCCATGGTTCGCCCATATTTTTTTCGTTTCGGTTACGAGTTTTATCATATGGAACCCAGCTGGATTCCAACTCTGGTCTGCGTTTCATTAGTTCATGGGTGTACTCCTCTTGAACTCTTTTTTTTTTTTTAACCGGGCCCGGTGCTCTAAAACTCTTTTTTTTTTTTCTTTTTTTTTTTCCTTTTTGTTTTAACCGAGCCCGGTGCCCAAGGCTGATATTACCAATAATAAGATTGAGGCCGGGGTCCTCACAGTCTGCCCGGAGTGTACTCCCCTTGAACTCATGGTTGGTGTCTTTTTTTTTTTTTTTTTTGGTTACAAGTTACGGAACCCATCTGGTTCAACTAGCCCCGGCAAGAGAGATGGGCTCGAACTGGGATTCGAACTCTGGTCTGTGTTTCAACAGTTCTTACCGGTGGGAGCCAGCCATGGTTCGTCATTTTTTTTTTTTCCGTTTCGGTTATGAGTTATTATATGGAACCCAGCTGGATTTGAACTCTGGGGCGAGGTCCCACTAGCAACGGGGTAGGATAGAAACGAGTTTGTGGGCCAGTTGAGTGACCTGCAATCAGACTCGTTCTCAAACACACTTTTCATGCATGTAAACAGCAACGCAGCATACTGGCGAAATGCGCCCACTCAAAACTCAGATGTATGGCTTTCAGATACGAGTTCACTCTCAATTGGCTATGGCGACTTCAGCGCCCAAACATCTCACTGTTCACATACACTGGATCACCCTGGATATCCCACACGCAACACTCTAACACTCGAACACACACACACACACTCACTACTAACTACAGCTATGGCAGCTGTCGCTGCATCTACCCTATCGCTATGCTAACTCCCTCTCTCTAGCCCACTGCGTCCTCCGGGCTCATCTGCAGACCTCCTTGCACAAGTCGCTATAGCAGCGCTTCCGCATGGCTCACGCAGGAATGAATGAATGGCTGGGCGCTGCCTCTTGATTTATACTTCAGAAACTCGTTGGTCTGCCCTTTGCCATCGGCCCTTGGTGCTCACAGTCCCCCTGTTGTACTTGCTGGACTGGACTGGGACTCTCTAGACCCTTCTGCTGACTGTAGGCAGTCGTACCGTCGACTCAAGTGCAGTTGCACTGAGGTCCTACCTGTTGACCTTGCCACTTGTCTTCGTCTGAAAACGTGGGCCTACCTTAGACTCACCACTTGACCACTTGCCGACCTTCTAGAAGGACTAGAGCTGTCTCTTATACACATCTAGATGTGTATAAGAGACAGGTGCAAAGAAAGCTTCCCGCCTAAATCTTTTCGATCGGTTGGGGGTGTGGCCAACCCCAAACGAGGTTGGGGTCGGCCTTAGCCCACTGGATAGAAGATTTTTCAGCATTTTATTTGCTGTTGTGCAAGTATCTCATTGGGTGGAGCCCTCCTTCAATCACGGAGTATATGGAGGGTGTCTGGATCACTGCTGACAGAAGTCGAGTTTATTCCAGAAAAAAATGTGGCAGTTACTTTGTTCACTGTTGTGGGGACCACCACCACCATCATCAGATCATTTGTGCTCTGATGGCTGGGAAGCACTCTGCCGTGATTTCCCGTGGGAGGCCTCTGTTTCGTTTTTTTTTCTTTGGCGTTTTTCCTGTTTTCTCAGCCCAGAAATTCGTAATGAACTTGTCTGGCCGCTGCCACTCAGTGTCACACTCGATCGGCCACACTCCTATCCGACTGCTAATGGGACCTCGCCCCAGGTCTATGTTTCAACAGTTCTCACCGGTGGGAGCCAGCCGTGGTTCGTCGATTTTTTTTTTTTTTCTGTTACGAGTTATTATATGGAACCCAGCTGGATTCGAACTCTGGTCTGTGTTTCAACAGTTCTCACCCTGTCTCTTATACACATCTAGATGTGTATAAGAGACAGGTTTTGGGTTCTGTTACGAGTCACTGAACCCATCTGGACTTGAATTCTGGTCTGCGTAACGAGTCCGGCCGGCATCATGGGGCCACGATGGTGGGGGACCACGTCTGTACAGGATTCTGCATGTGTTGAAAGTGTCATCAGTGGGAAGTTTTGAATCGGGTATGACAGAGAAGTCCGTGACAGACCTCACAAGAGCACCAGGAATAGGTGGTGGGCTTGCACGTGGGGGCCGGGGGGGGGGCAGGGGCTGGGTGAAGGGCGCGCGTGGTTGGTGCTGTGCTACAGAAACTGTTAGGGTGTGCTAGGCCCATCCCACACACCGGATAGAGCCGAACCCTACTGATCATTGAATCAGGATTGTTTTTGATCTCTCGGTTCATGCCATGTCGGAGTGATATCCCCAGCTGAGGCTCTGCACGTGGTCATGCAAGCGAGTCGGATTCTTTCCTCAAGTCCAGTTGTGGTTGTCACACTACCGTCTTCACCCGAATAGAACGCCCGGTCATTATCGCCGCATCTGGACCGCCGACAGTTGTGCCAAAAAAAAATACAGCTATAATGACTGGGAGTTCTATATTGGGGTGAAGAAGGTAGTTGAGATTGAACCTACACCTACAGCTTCGCGTGCTAATGCTCTCCCACTCTTTCCTTTTGCCTAAACTATACCCGTTCACCTGAACCAGAGGACTCCTCTTGCCCATTCATGCGGCCAGAGCACGGCGAGATCATTTAAATTTCATTTTGATCTGGGTTTTGGAGTGGTAGCGAAAGAGCGGCAGGCCACTTGGGAAAAGCGCAGTGCAGGCCTGCCAGCCTTGGGGGGGAAAAAATGGAAAGCTCCGTCATCTTATTAGGCTCGCCGCTCCTGTGACGCGGAGGGTTAAGCCACCACTGCCCCCGCTGGCCTAAATTCGGCCATCCTGGCCTAAATACGGACCGGGTTCTTAAGAGGAGGGGGGGGGGGGGGGACCAGCAGGTGCAGGCAGGTCCAATCCCACAATTTTCAAGTGTCACAACTTTGGCGATTTTTCGCGCTCAGAAGAATAAACGAAAAAAACTGAAAATTTGAGGTCTTGTAGAATAGATTGTGATCTTTCACGGAAAAATAACAGGAAAAAAAAAAAGAAAACGAAAAAAAGAGCAGTCCAGTAAATGTCATGCCGATTCTTCACATTTTCCATTCTTGCCACTCTACCACATTTGCATTTTTGCCACTCTACCACGTGAGGGCCGACGCGAGAAGTACCCCAACTTCCACGATTTTTTGCGCTCAGAAAAATGGCTCGTAAAATCTGAAATTTGCAGGCCCTGTGCATTTGGCCGTGGTCTTGCCAGGAAAACTATTTTCTAAACTGAAAAAAACAAATTTGACCATGAAATAAATGCCGCGCTGATTTATCTCATTTTCCATTTCTTGCCGCTCTACCACGTGTGGGCTAACGGGAAAAGTACCTGTGCGATGTCTAATGAAGATTGTTGCTAAGGAGTGTGTGGGAGAAAGTCCTTCTTCGCTCAGATTTCTAAGCGAATGCCATACATTGGGACAAGTAGGTTATCAGCAGGAAACCACAAAAAAGTACGGCCGCTCGCCCTAGCCAGCGACCGCCGAGCTGTTTGGGATCCTCAGAGACTTTATGCGAGAATTCTCTCAATCAAGCAAAAGAGCGCTCTTGTGCCTTCGGCCTTCCATACTTAGGGGGCGAAGTGAAGAAAAAGTGCAACGTAAATTGTAAACGGGCGAAGATGAGGTGTGGCGGCGAAAATTGAGGATTGATTGACTGTTAGATTAGGAATTGCATCGTGAGACAAAAGTTGTTGAGTTGACCTCGAATGATTTTCTGGAGTCAATGTTGACGGCCTTTTCGCCTTGCTGACTCCCTTGAGTATTGCTGCTGTGCTGATTGGCGGAGATAGTTTGGCAATAAATAGGGGAAGATTGTTCATTTGATAGCCGTGGTCATGTCAAGGTCGCACCAAATTGAGATTTTAAGTTTTGTGTCTAGTTGTTGGGCGATAGGATTGGCACTTCCGGTGTTTTCGGGCAAGCTTGCCGTGTTACGAATTGATCTTACGGTGAGGTGTTCAGCTTGCATTATGGCGTCATCCTCGTCGGCCGCACAAATCGTCGAATGAATGATCTTTGTGAAATGTTGCAGCACTGTTTCCTCACAGGTGAGGAGAACGAAACACAGGCAAGGCAATATATCAGGAGTCACCGCAATGAACACGAGGACATGGTGGTCATTGACCTGGAGCCGCATGCGGCAGACATGACGGTGGGGTATCTGAAACAACAAGGAGTCCTAGTGGTTTTTCAGGGTCCGGGTGCAGATACCCCATTTGTTAAAAAGGAGGAATGGCTTCGAGCGATGGAGGCTGGATGGGATTTGGCCATCGCTCACGATGTCCACGGCCGGATCAAACCAGAAGGAGCAAACATGATATCGTACTTGGCGCCCAACCACGTGCTCAGAAATTGGTTGATCACACTGCAGAAACAGGATTATGTGTTCGTGGATGGGAAACAATGCAAGGTCCAGTTCCGACCTTGGGCCACACCCTCTGAACAGGCGGCGATGAGGCAGCAGGCGCAGGACAAATTCTTTTGAATTAGGGTGTTGCGTGTCCCCTTTTTGGCGATGCCCTTTTTAAAAGCGGCAGTGATTAGGGAGTTTGGTCAAGTGCTGAAAGATTTCCCTCCGGAACGGAACAAGGCTACACCGAGACTGGTCAACAGGAGGTATGATTTGCACCCGCAAGCTAAAGCGAGAGTATCGAAGGTTTTGAAGTTCAGATCTCCTCACGGCTGGCACAGGGTGGATGTGGTTACTCAGGACATGCCATGGTGTCAGGACTGCAGATGGTACGGACACGAAACGGGGGCAAGTGAGTGCCCCAAAAAAGGTCGCCAAGAAG